CATACCTACTTTCCTCTCCCCTCTGGGAAGGATACAAATAGTTATACAGATGGCTCTGTCTGCTGCCTATTGAACTGTGAATTAATTGGTAGATTATGGTTTCTGGTTGGAATGATTAACCCCATTCCTCTTACAGAATAATTGTTGGGAATGCTGGGGTCCTTTTTTGAAGCTATTTAGATATGTCCTGGAATTTTATAACCCACCTAATTTGTTTCATTACAAAATGAAAAACTAATAAAGACAGTTGCCATTTGAATGAAAAATTTCCTTTAGGGTAATTATTTCCTGCAGGATGTCAGTATTTCAGGTTAGGTATTTGGAATTGCTTTTTTGGTTTTATCTTTATTCCATTATGAATTAATATACTGCCTATTGATATATATATATATATATATTAACATTTGGATTAATTAAGATTACCATTTCTCAGGTAGTAATATAATGTTGAACTTTGTAGAGCAAAGCAGTATTTTTAAGAGACCTAAGTAAATAATCTGGGTACCTTTAACACAGTGAACATCTTAGATGTTGTTTCTTTTGATCCATGAAGTACTAAAACAGAAGATTGTAGCCACACCCCTCCAAAATGTATAATACCATCTCACAGGTATGGATACAATCACTTTCCGTGGACAGGCTCAGGATTTAAGAATTGGAAAAGTGAATTTGGCTTGGGCTTTTAAGTCTGCAAAGCAGCATTTGACCTCTAATGTGGCTCTAAAGGGAACTGAACTACTCAGCTAAGGTTCCTTGTGAGTATGACATTGACATTTACTTTACAAATAATTTACCCACATTACAAATATTACTCTTTAATTTTTTGGAAACAATTTAAAAATGACAACCTTTAAATGGCTTCTAGGACATAAAAAGACAACTGGTGAGCAGGTGGGATCCACAGGCCAACTTCGTTGTATAGAATGAGGTAGGCGATCCATATAAAAGCAAAGGTTTGTGCTTTGTGTCTTTTCCAAAGAGAGAAATCGTTGTATGCTGTCATGGTCAACAAACTCCTCACAGAGAAAGCAGGGTTTTGAGGAGGCTTTCCACATAATAGACCACCTAGGAGGAAGTGGAGCACAGGGCAAGGATTGTCAACAATTGCTCCTTGGTTCATTTGTTTTCTGTTCCGAGGACTTTTCTTCTGTTGAGTTTTTAGTGAGAGACACATATGCTCGTTAATCCATGACTTCTGATCTTAGTGATTTAGAGAGGCATAGAATAAACCTATGCTTTGGCTGAAAATCACTGGCTTAGTGACTGGTCTGAGTTAAGTATGGAGAAAGGGAACCTGCTAAAATGGCCTCAGATGAATGAGTTATCCAGACTAGTGAAAGAAGTCTTATGTTTATTTCTTGTTCAGTTTTTACAAACCTTCCACTTATCAGGTATCATGCTAAGTACTAAGATTAAAAAAAAACTGACAAGAAATTAACTATCCTCAGCACACTCATTAAGTTTGTGATCCCAGTTTGTTTGTTTGTTTGTTTAAAAAAAAAAGCAGTGAGGGGAGAGATATTTATGACCCTGGCATGCAGTTTGGATCACCTGAGAAATTTAAAGATTACATCCTCCATGCTGCTCCCACACACAGTTTCTGATTTGTTTAGTCCTGAATATGGCCTGGGCATCCAGGTTTTTTCTTTTTCTTTTTTTGTTTTGTTTTTTATTTTTGTTTATTTGTTTGTTTGTTTTTAAGAGCTCCCCTAAGTGATTCTAGTGCACAGTCAAGGTCAAAAACCTCTAGCATAAGAGAGTGGAACACAAAAAGATGCACACAACAGTAGCAAGGACGGAGCCCAAGTAACCTTTAGGGAGTAAAAACATACACACAGGATATGATAGCATAAAGGAGGGAAACAGTACATCCCACTTTGGAACTTTGGAACTATCCTTCTGGATAGGATGTACAGCCAGCATGCCAACCTGCATGGGGGAGTGGCCTGGAATAGTGAGCAGGGACAAAAGAGGTATCACATAACAGGTAGATGTTCACACATTGCTGTCTGGTTCTGAAGAGGGGACTAGCATTGTATATTAATTTACAGAGATGACCCCTCTGGCAGGATAAGCATGACTAATGGTCTCATAACTCCAAGCAAGAAGCCCAGGCCCTGAGTCATTGCCAAGTCCACATGAGAAATGATTAGGGCTTAAATGTCAATTAATGGCAGTGAGTCTGGACAGGAAATGACTATTCATAAGATATTAAAGATGTGGTACTAATAGGATATGGTCACTGTTGGTGATTAAGAAGAGCATATTCCTGATTGGATTACAGCATGGCTAGAATAGGGCATGCCAGGTTTCTAATGGGAAAGAGAGAAATGGAAATGACTGGATTCCTTTTGATTCATTTACTTTGAAATATTGGTAAAACTGTCCACTAAGAATTCTCTAGTTAACCTTTCAAGTGTAGGAACAAGGAATGAGAAGTGATGCTTCCCCAGAGATGTGATGGAGGAGTCATCAATCTGTCCAGAAGACAAGATTGCCCAAGTGAGAAATGCATAGGCCTGAGGGACTCAGCATGTAAGGTGTGGGCACAGGAAAGGAGCTATCATTTTGGCTCCCAAATGGATTCAGGTAGCAGTAATAGAACCAGGAGGAAATGATATAAAAAGAAAAAGCAGATATAGAAAAGAAAAGAGAAATAAAACATTAGAAGCTTCAGAACAGTCAAAGAGCCTTAAGATTTAAGACATGTCAATAAGGTAGGTCAACATCATGGGAAGGCTGGTTTGAGAACCATTACTGCAGTTGACTTAAGACTAAATTTTAAGTACCTGTCAAAAATGTGGAGAAAATAGATTTAGGAAGCCCTTTTCCTCCTTTTAACATATACAAAATGGGTAAAAATCTTTAGCTTTAAAAGTATTTCTAATTGGTAATCAAACTCAAAAAGAAGCCAATTCTCCATATTCCCCGACTGAAAAAGGAATTAAAAGCCACAGGAAAGTAAAGGCTGATGCTGAGAGGACCACAAAGATATCAGACTACACATAGAGGCAAAAAAGGAAAAGATGACACTTCAGCCTGCAAAGCAAAAAGGTGGAGCTTTCATCTGTGCAGAAGCTGTACAAGGGATGGGTTCATCCATGAGTGCAACCAGGAAACTTAGATGCTCTATCCGATCATTTGATGGGATGTTTTTAAAGGAGAGAGAGAAGAACTTTGGAAGAGAGGAATTCTGGGTCAAGGGAGAAAATCATGTGTCCATTATTTAAAAAACAGAGACTAGGAAAATGCATTGTGGAGAGACATGTGACATATAGGAAGAAAGAGCAGGATAAGAAAGGAAGATGAAATGTATTTGAATATGCCTGCTGAAGAGAGAAACTCAAGTGTGTAATATGTGCTCTCCATTCTCTGTCAGATATAAAGGATGTAGAGGTGACCAATGAGGATCTACAAGATAAGTGTTTTAAATGGCCACCAAGTTAAATATGGAGAGGACACATTTTTCAGTTTGCCAAAGGCTATTCAGGACTTGCCTGAAATGGAATGTTATACATCTAAAGTGGTATCATGCTATAAGATTTGCATGTGAGATTGTAGTTGGGCGGTGGTGGCCCATGCCTTTATTCCCAGCACTCAGGAGACAGAGACAGGCAGATCTCTGTGAGTTCAAGGCCAGCTTGGTCTACAGAGGGAGTTCCAGGACAGGCACCAAAGGTACAGAAAAGCCTTGTCTCGGAAAACAAACAAACAAACAAAGTGAAATAGTAGAAACTTGGAAGGAAATAAAGGAGAAACAAGAATAAGGGGCACCCACCCATGAGAGTAATTTGAAAGACTGGGCGGGGAAGAAGACTCTGCTATCATAGTTTTTATTTCTGACAACAGTTTTTATCAGAACATTTCTGCTTGAAGTAAGCTAGAAAAATTGTCCTAGTCTAGCTTATTTTAAAAGAACCAGGGCAGTATTGTTGCAATATGAAACCATGATACCTTTGGTCAGACTGCAAGGAGTCAAGGTTTGTAGGCCTCATCTTTTCTTGCCTGTGCATATTGAATTGTCTGTTGGGTGAAGGCACTTTTCTTATAGGTACATATGCACCATTTGTATTTATCTGAAAATGTATGCTGTATCTCAGTGTGATGCTTAGCACCGAAAGGTATCCATGCCTGTGATGTGAGAAGCTTCCAGAGACTGGAGATTTGATCATCGTCATTAGAAGAATGTCCAGCTCATGAACATTCCATAAGTAAATGTCACTTCTGTCGGGAAGGACGACTGATGAGAATTTTTAGACCCTTTAAAATCAGCTTTGGTGGCAGAAATATTGAGTAGAAAGAGAAACTTTTTAATTAAGTTGAAATTGAACATTTAAGGTGACTTTTCAGGTATGTTCTAGTAAGGGCAGCATTAATAATGAACCCATGGGCCCTATTAAAGGACTAGAAGCCTGTCAACTCTAGGTCACCAGCCAAAGCCCAGTAGAGTTATCTGTAATCAAAGGTTTTCCCTGCCTGGCATTTGGGGCACAGGCTTTCTTTATGATGGTAGGTTTGTTTTGAATAGAGGGATATTTGTCCATCATTCAAAAGCTACCTTCACATAGAACTAATTGGTAGCATAAACCCAAAAGTCAGAAAACAGTCTATTGTAACACTTATGTCACCGTTCAGATACCACTGTTTGGTCATTTAAATAGCATTTTAAAAACATGATTGTCCTACTTTTTATTTTTTGAATATTTTTTAAAAGGTCCAACTAAACTTTTCCATACATTTGTGTTCTACATAAGATATTAACAATTATAAGATGGACAATCAATATTATTAGCTTATTCAACAAATTGGAAACCTAAAATGAAATCTGAGAGTGGCATTTCCCAGCAGTGTGACTCAGGAAGAGATATTGCTGCTTCCAGCACAGGTAATGAACTGTGTTAAGAGAGAGATGGGCATACCATCTTTTTCTATAGCAAAAGCAGAAGAAAACACTCACTGTGTATGACTCTAAATTGTCCATTTCTTTGTGGCCATTTCAGGGGGATTGTCCAGTCGGAAGAGAAACTCGTCATCAGTGCATCTTGGGCAAAAGATGATGATATCAGCAGACTCTTGAAATCACTGCCAAACTGGACTAACATGGCTCAGCCCAAACAGCTGAGGCCCAAGAGGGAAGAGGAAGAAGACTTCATAAGGTAAACGTCTGTTCTCTAAGTTATGTTAGACAGGGGGAGGAAAACCCCATGCCTTCCACAAATCCTTACTCAAATGAAAGGGTGCTGATTCTAAAGATCAAGCAGCAGTTACTTGAACTTGAAAAATCTGTTTTCCTCCTCTTGCACTTCCTTTCTCATGAAAGTGTGCCTTGGGCTCAAATGTCGGCAAGGAGGAGCTGTGAACTCAATCTAAGCGTTGCCAAGTTGGACTAATATGTCTCAGATTATATACAGGTACAATACAATCATTTGCTCATTCGTTCATTCAGCTCTGCTCTACTGACCCTGTTCCTTGACACACTGATAGTAAGATAAAGTTTGGCTCAGCGTATGTCACAGCATTCCAAGCATGTCCTGTAATTTACATGTTCATTCACACAGACTGGATTGTCTCTACTATTTCTACTTGTTTTGATAAAAGTAAGGTCTCTCTTTTAACATTATCACTCAACAATTGTCTTTGTACAATTTCTTTACTTAACCCATGGGATCTTATGAAACTGCATGTTTTCCTACGTCTGGCTTGCAAGAGTGAACTGTTTGCAACCATGTCACCACTGAAGTGTGTAAAGTAGGTAAACGAGGGCAACAGTGCTTCATCATGTTAAAATTAGGTTCATTCTTATTATCTTTTGTTTATCTGAGGGAAAAAATAGGTGGTACAATAAAATAAAAGCACTTTTGAAAAGCAAAGACCAAAAGCTGGGAAAGTGAGGCCTATCTGGAATCCCAGCACTCAGGAGGTGGAGGCAAGAGCATCGGGAATTCATTTACCGTTCACCTCATAGTGAGTTCCAAGCTGACCTGACCATCTGAGACCCAGAGTCACAAAGGAAAAAAGAAGCAGCAGCAAAGACCAAAACTCAAAATAAATAATTTTCAAAAGTAATGGATATTGTCTTAACTTTCAGTTTATGATCCAACAACAGACTCATCTCTGTATGTCAGAATGTAGATTGAAACTGTAGATAATGTGGCTTGCATGAGAATGTCCCCTATATACTCAGGTATTTGAATACTTGGTCCCCAGTTGATGTCATTGTTTGGGGGTTAGAAGGTGCAGCCTAGGAGCAGGCTTTAAGAGCTCATAACTTTGTGCCATTTCCAGTTCATTCTCTCTGCTTCATGTTTGCGGTGGAAGACGTGATCTCTAAGCTTCCTATTACTGCCCTCTGCTGCCATGCTTCCCCAGCCGTTATGAATTCTCCCTCTAGAACCATAACCTAAATAAACTCTGCTGTCCATGGGTTGCTTTTGGTCATGGTACTTTATCACCGCAACAGAAAGTAACTAATCCAGATAGTAAGTCTTTACTGTTCGTAAAGTTAACTGTCTTCACACCTATCTGTCTTTATGCCTATATAACTTATTTTCACTGACAGTGGGTAACTTTTTCCTGATACTAGCTTATATATAGTTACAATTGAAAAGTTGTAGGATATTAAGTGTAGCAAGCTTTCTTTTGGCTGCCTACCAACTCCCAAATAAAGACACAGAGACTTATTAGTTATGAATGCTTGACCTTATCTTATGCTTGTCCCACTAGCTCTTATAACTTAATTTAACCTGTTTCTCTTCATCTATGTTTTGCCTCTGGGCTTTTCACCTTTTTTCCTTCTGTATGTCCTACTTTTCCTGCTTCTTCTGTGTCTGGCTGGCAGCTGCCTGGCTAGCTGGCACTGGGCATCTCCCTCTCTTTCTCCCTCATCCTCCCTACCAGAGCCTAGATTTCTCCTCCTACTTATTCTCTCTGCCTGCCAGCCCCACCTATCACTCTACTGCCTAGCTGTTGGCCATTCAGCTTTTTATTGGACCAGTCAAGTGCCTTAGGCAGGCAAGATAAAACAGCAACACATCTTCACATAATTAAACAAATACAACATAAACAAATGTAATACATCTTTATATCATTAAATGCAGCATAAACAAATGTAGCATACCTTTACATAGTTAAAGTAATATTCCACAACAATTAAATGTTGAAGTGAAATGTGTATGCATGTCTATTAAATATATGTCAGGATTTGAATTGCTGGGTAATAGTGTGTGCAAATTTTGAGGGGTCCACAATATCAGTTTTCTAAAGTATTCCTAAGGAGCTGGAAATACGACTCAGCCATTAAGAACACAAACTTCTCTTGCAGAGTACCCAAGTTTTATCCCTAGCACCCACAACTGTCTGTAACTCCAGTTTTAGAGGACCTGACACCTTCTTCTGGCCTCATACCCACACTCACACATCACACATGCACACACACAACCTAAAATAAATGTCTTAAAAATTAGAAAACAAAGTAGGCCTAGAAGTTTGCACCATCACAATGGTCTGTCAGAGTTTCTGTTGGCCTGTGTGTTATCAGGACTGGGTATCTTCCATCTGTTGATAGCAGACATTCTAGTACATGCACTGAGATAATTTGATGTCATTTAGTGTACATTTCTCTCATGGATTAGGGTGAGCAATTTCCTGTGTATTTTTATATATTTATTGACCTTCATGGGGTATGTGTGTGTGTGTGTGTGTGTGTGTGTGTGTGTGTGTGTGTTTTCCAAATCTATTGCTAATTTTAATTATGTTTTCTATGGAGGGTTTTCCTAGTAATTTGTAGGAGTGATCTGTATGCCAGGTTATTACTCCTTTGTTATAGATAAACTGGTCTTCTCCCGCTTGACAGATTGCCTTATTACTTGCTCAGTGCAGTCTTTCACTAGAGAGACTGTCCACTTACTGTCCATAGTATATAAGTACAGTTTATAGTTTATTTTATGGATTGAACATTTTGTGTAAGGACGTTTGCTTATACAAAAGTCACAGAGGAATGTTCCTTGGAAACTTTGATGTACTGACTAGTTCCCCAGTATGTTTAAAAAAAACTTATTTTTTAACTTTATTCCCCTGTAACCTAAACTTTCCACAACTGAGATTATGTTCTTTTGACTTTAATAGTAGAAAATATCCTCATATCTACCACGACAAGAGATAATGAATGATTGATGGATTGATTAGCGCTCAAGTAGATATAATCAACTGACCTTAATACAGAAAGCAAGCCCCAAGGTGCTATGCTTTCACAGAATTACTGTCAAATCATCATTTTGCCACATTCTCAAGTGGTCTGAGTAAGCACATTCCTACTCCCTCTTATAACTATATTCATTTAACTGTATGTATTAACTTCAGTAGTTGAATTACAAGCAATTTCTGGATGATAATTTCTTTTACACTAATATTTCAAATAATCATGTGTCTTATTGTTCTCAGTTTATTTTTATACAAGAATTAAATTGTAATATATGCCTGCAAAAAGATTGTTAATCAGCTGTATTAGTTATCTTCCATAGCTCAGTGTAAAAGGAAACAGTTCTATTATAGAAAAGAGATACTGAACCAGGAATGGAGCCTTTTTTTGACACTGCCTTGGATTCAGAAGAGCTGGAATTAAGGATCCAGCTTCCTTTACTCTTGTTTGATCATTCAATCAGACTACTCTTCATATTAAAATCAAAGGAAAAGCCAATTGTATAAATATTTCCTCATTTTTGGTCTCAATAAAATGTATATCATTATGCCCATATAACTAGATCAAAATATCAAATTCTCCTAGTGTCCTCCAAAGATCTACCATCAAAGTAAGCCCTATTCTAACTCTGCCATCATAGTTTAGTTTTGCTTGTCCTTGTGGTTTTTTTTGCTGTAGTGTCTAGATTATTTTGCTGATTTATGCCTGAGATATTTGTTCATATTTTTGCATGTGGACATGGTTTGAAAAGCATCATAAGAGAATAATTTTTTGTTGGGCAGTGGTGGTGCACACTTTTAATTCCAGCACTCAGGAGGCAGAGACAAGCAGATCTCTTGAGTGCAAGTCCAGCCTGGTCTACAAAGTGAGTTCCAGGGTAGCCAGGGCTATACAATGAAAACCTGTCTTGAAAAACCAAGAGAGAGAGAGAATAAGTTTTGATTTCTGTTTACTTTAGATGTGATGGGCTCTTTCCTTTAACCTGTCCCATCCTGTATCTAGATTAGAAGTTGAAACTCTTCACTGATATTCCAGTGTAGCGGAGTTGACAGAGGGCCTGGTTTAGCACATTAAAATACCATATAGCACTGCATGAGCAAAACCGACTGAAAAGTCACTCTTCTCCTGTAATTAGTTTTTAAACCTCAGAAGACTATTTAGTGAACTGATGAATATAGAATCCAGTGCCCTTTGCATTGAATAAAGGCTATGCTCTCTTCATTAATAAATGAGTCCTTTTTCTATTCTTGTTTTTTAACTAAAAAAAAATGTATTATTTCCTGGTTTAGCTTTGAATAAAAGGAGAAAAAAAACTAGGTCAAGCTAGGGCTTTAATAGGGGGGAAAAAAAGCTAATACTCTTTGTTCCCAAAGAAGCTAAAAGCAGGCTCTCTAGCCCATTGTCTTTGCACCTGTCATCATGTGTATGTGTATATGTATGTATGTGTGTGTGTGTGTGTGTGTATCCTTTGTGATAATAGCTATCCACTGATGAAAAGAGTTTGCTAGTTTGCTATTGGGGGCTGTAATTAACAGAAGGAGGAAGGTGCTGGTGGAAGTAAAAGAGACAGGGCTGGGCTGTCTAGAAGTTGGGCAGATTATAATCAGACCCCCAAAACCTGAATTTTAAAGGATAAGAATCATTTCTCTAGAGCCAGTCCTGAAAACTTGTAAGTTTGATTGGTAGACCAGGATCTGAATGTTCAAGTGATAAAAATCAAACAGTAAGTATGAAGCCTACAGATTAGTCTTGAATTACAGCAGACTAATGGCAAATGATACAAAGTAATTCTCTAGATCAACAATATAATGAAAATAATAAGAATCGTCAGTGCCTGGCACTATAGGGTAGCATTATGAGTCTCTAAATGTTATTCCCATTCAACAAATGAGGAAACTGAGAGAAAGAAACTTCTTCAGAGCCACAGCCATTAAGTGACAGAGCTGAGGTTTAAACCTA